TTGAATTATCCTTAGATTTGCATGGGTGAGAGTGACTCAAGTTCGCCAACTCAATAGGCCTCTCATTTCAAGGGTAAGACTGGGTAAATGGCTGGGACGTGCCGTGTAAGATGAAATTCACTTGTAATAGCCCAAAAATAAATAAAGAAATAAACAAATAAAAAAAAAAACTTTATATAAAAAAAAGTTAAAATAATAATAATAATTTAATTAATTAATTAAAATTTTAAAAAAAAAATTTCCCCACCTCTCTCCACTAACCTATCCCTTCCAACCATTATCTCTCCTTACCCATCCTTATGCAAACTTGCAAAAAAAAAAAAAAAAAAAAAAAAAAAAAAAAAATGGGCCCATGAATTCCCATGCATGTATGTGGGAAGGTAGGTTATTGAAGATTGAATTTCCTCTTTGGTGAGGGTTGGACCCACTTCGATGGCTTTATCATCTCTTCATGTTAGACCAAACTTGGAGCCATTTTGTGGCTGCCAANAATAGCTTTCAACATAAGCAGATTGTAGAGATTTTTGTCAGTTATTACCGTAAAATCCTATCTCAGATTTCCTTTTCCTTTATAGTTATGGTTATAAGAAATTAATTTAAGATCAAATATTCTTTCATATCTTAACACGTCTGTAATAATCAGATCCTATATACAATTGATTAGATTTTTGTTAGCATTTTAAGTTATACCGTTATAAGGTTAGATTCAATAAAATTTTAGTTGTCAGATCTATAAACTAAAAAAATGTAGCCATGACTTAAAATTGGTCAGTAATATCTGTTTTCATAATTGAAAAACAGAGAATGAAAATAATTAGGGAGAGGGAGATTGAGGAAAGATTTGTTGAACAATATTTAACAATAAAACAGTAAATATCAAAGGACAGTGAACTCCTTCAAATTTTGTGTAACAGAAAATATCAGAATAAATAATTTTATAGAGTTCAAACTTGAAATTGATGTCATGAGCTCATATAGGTTGACTCGGATTTCAAAGGACGGAATCGAACTTTCATTAAAGATATATTTGTGACAACGACTTAAGCGAGCCAAGTAAGTGACCTTACTATCGACATGATTATATTTGATGTTGACACGTGCCACGTGGTTCTGCACGTGTCATATATATTGATATGTGTGAATTGTCTATGGATCGATATGCTTCCTATATGTTATGTTATGTTATGTTATAATATGTGGATTGTATGATAATAATTATGGTACGATGTGCTCAAGGATATGTTTGAGATAGGATACGAGAAGAATGCACAAAACGAAATGTAACGATAGGAGTAAGATATGTTCATGAAATGTTAAGGTTAGGTTACATACCGGAGTGCTATGGATAGGAGAGATTGATGAAAGAATACGGTTAGGTTATGGGTAGAAAGGGATAGGTTTGTGATAGATTGATAGAACGATAGCATTAGGATACGTTCTTGTGATGATATGACTAAGGTACGTTACGTAATGATATGTCTGTGATAGGTATAAGAACGTTAAGGCTATGGTAAGTTAGAGAACGATATGAGTATGAAGTGTTTACGTTATGACTTGTTTATGATATGATACATTGTATTCTAGATTATTATGCTTAAGTACATAGTCATGTGAACGTGAATGTATGTTATGTATGCTATTTAGTCTGATGTGATGTGTAATGCATGTAACAATATGTTGTTCTTGAATGGTTATGGCATGATTGTATGAAATGTTTGAATGTAGACAACATGAATTGTATGACATGAAATACGGTAAACTGTCTGGAATCATAACTGATAAGATAAGGAACCACTACAAGAGGAGTAAGATTTGGATTACCTTGTTGATCGAATATCTCAAGGCAAGAACATTGTTTGAGATTCGAATCACTCCACAACAAGATCGATCATGTTTAGCTTGAATGATTTTTATTGATCAAATATCTCATATACTTGTTTGAGATTCGAATCACTCCACAAGCAAGATTGATCATGTCGAGCTTGAATGATTCTACATGCAACCTAAACTACATAGAATTGCAAATAAACTTAGTCATTGGCTAAAGAAAGCAAGATTAATCATGTCGAGCTTGAATGATTCTACATTCATGTGGATACTAATGTTGGAAAAATATCAAATATTTAACCCAACCTTAATTCCAACCATTTTTTTACGTCCTTCAAGATAACTTGATTTCTTTTTTTAACTAGATCAAGATAACTTGATTTCTTTCTTTAACTAGATTAATGGTTTAATGAGTTTCATGTATTACTTGGACTTTCAAGTCACATCCTCTAAACCTTGCTAAATGTCCAACAACAGACCCCTTTACCTATATATCCTCACAATCCCATTTTAAAAGATTCTTGTGGTAGAAAGAGGGTACACTTAATTGGTATTGCAGAGGCACAGTTGATATCATTACATGTAATAGAATTTGGAATACTAAATCCAACTTTAAATAAAGGGTCTTAGAGCCTTAACTACGAAAATACCTTTGAAACATTTTGAAATGGGCTATTATTCTACAAAAATAAAATAAAATAAAATAAAATTTATATTGAGCTATGAAATATATTTATGTAAGGGTATAGGGAAGATTACCATGGAACTTTTAGTTGATTTAGAGACAAATTCTACATTTGTAATCATGGCCATCTTTTGCTCAAATCATTCTTAAATTTAAGACATATCCTGAAAGTCTCAAACTGCTTTGACCATGATCGTAACGCCTCATTGATACTCTTAAACCACCTTAGTGGCTCTCAAAATGCAACATTGACGTCTTTTCAACCCATAATTGTCATCATACTATTATATAGACATTATTCTCACATTCTCTAGTAGAGTTTAGGTGACATCTCCGTAGTAGGCTCCATAACATAAGTGTAGGGTTATGGAGCCTGTTGCTTATTTATAGCTCATTCAACCGTTCTACGTACATATAATGCAAATGGTTATATATATATATATATAGTGAAAAAACTATATATAATAAAAGGCTATAGATAAATTATATATGGTAAAGTTATAGTAAACTGAACCAAGTATATACAATCTTAGTAGTGCTTTTAAAATATACTTTCTGCTTTCTCTATACTTAAGTCATCCATATAAATCTTTAGTCAATATTCCTCTTTTCATTTTCTCTCTCTTGTTCTTTGTGCTCATCTAGATCGTGTGTGTTATTGTGTGATCCTAAGAACTGGTACCAAATTTAGGCAAGATTCATCATGATCTATGAAGATCGAAAACTCAAATGTTGGAATTAAGAAGTTTGATGGATCCTTTTTCGGTTTTTGGATGATATAGATTGAAGATTATCTCTACCAGAAAGATCTTCATGAACCCCTGTAGGAGGTGAATTCGGATACCATGAACACGGAGTAGTAGAAGCTCAAGGATCGGCCAGCCTCAGGGTTGATCTAGTTGACGCTATCCAAAAATGTGGCGTTCAACATCATCATTTGTTGAAGGTACTATCAAGTATATACCAAAAATTGTCGACTATGAACAAGGTGTATTTTATGCGAAGATTGTTAAATTTACAAATATGTGAAGGTGGATCTATTGCTTATCATATAAAGGAATTCAATATGATTGTAAGTCAACTGAGATCGGTGAAAATTAATTTTGAATATGAAATTAAAGCATTGATTTAATGTCATCTTTACCCGAATTGTGGAAAATTAAAGCATTGAAAGTATTCCCATACAGTACATGCAAATCACAACTAATTCTATAATATTTTCACCCTTTGCAATCGAAGCAAGTTCACAATTAGGAATTTGTTGACGAACCCCTGATCGTCTCTATATAACAGCATAAATACCACCTGCATAAACATATCATAAAAAGAGACATAGTATAGTAATCTAGACATACCTTCACGTAGATGTGTCTTATTATACATTAGTTCTCACATTGCAGACTTCTGATTTTGGTCAAGAATCAGAGGGAGATATTATCTACTAAAGTTCCTCAAAACTCCAAATACCTCATGGCCTGTACCTCGATGCATGACGACACGTACCTCGTGGCCTTTGCATGTGTCATTTATGCTTTATATTTACGACATTGTGACTATATTATAGGATGATGATGTATAATGTATGACTTATGATGACATGATTGAGTTATATGATAATGTCATATGATATTATATGATGTTCTATGATGATATTATATGATGATGACGATGCATGACAACATGACGATATAAGATGTAAGATTATGAAATTTCTTAATATGACGTTATTCCATATCAAGATGAAATACATGCTTTAAATATCATGATGCATTATGACAATGATTTTCTTTTAAGTCACCATCCTAATTAATGTTTAGAATATATATTTAAATAATTATAAAAAATTTCAAATGCGATTTCTAAATATTAAAACTAGAAAAAGAAAAAAAAACATAATTATACAATCCATCATTGATTCTAAATTCTAAAACAGGATCCCTAATAATTCTATCGCAATAAATAATATTCATATTAATTATGTCTTTCTATATGAAATTTGTGAAATTTGAACCGTATTAAATTAATTGGTTTTAAATCATTAAATAATATTTTTATTTTAAATTTGCATCACTATCAAAAATTAAATACTTATGTAGTTGTATTAAATTATTTAATAAATGAATTTAACTTATTTTATTATAAATAATAGTTTTAATAAATATTGCATTAGATTGATATAAGTTATTAGTAGTATAATTTAAGTAAATATACTATTTTTTATTTATATATAAAAATAGAACAATTTAGTACATTAAAATTATTATCCTAATTATTTTTCTTGTAGTGTTATCCATTATAAATTTAATTTAAACATATTTATAAAAATTAAATAAATAAACAAAGAGAAATAATAATAATAAGATACATATACCACGCTTAATTATTATCAATTATTTTATTTCCACAATGTTCCAAATCATCGTTATATCAGTATCTTTATAAAATTACGACTTAGAATATTTACATTGAGATCGACGTGTAATCAAGACGGGGGGGTTGAGAACTAGAGGGAATTGATAGCAATTTTCATTCCACCTTGGCAGTGGCCTAGCGTGGCGCATATGAAGAAGCTGTGTCCTGTTGAGAGCATGATCTCATCCTTGCCTGAATTGAACACTTTGGCGCCTCTTGGAGCTATGCAGCTTCTATAACCCCCCTCGTCCACTATCACCACGTTGTGAACTATCGGGTTATAGTTGAATCCTACAAAAAAAAAAAAAAAAATGTATGTATTCGTTTCGTTTATTATTAATGATCTAACTGCGAATTCGATCGGATACTATTGGAATATATTTTATATAGTCGTAATGTAACGACCCAGATCCTCTTTGGGCTTTCCCTTTCGAGTTTCCCCTCAAGGCTTAGCAAAATCATTTTCATGCATACACTAACATTTAGTAGCTTACTAAAACGATAGCTACTCATTCACAACAACAATCTCAATAAATCTAAACATCATCAATACAACCATTTACATTCACATTCCATACAAGGTAAAACATAATGTATTCTAAATTATAATAAATATAGAATTAAACTAACCTGAATGCAATAAATTATAATACAATCAATAGAGTAAAAGTCCAATTATGAGTTATATTTTATAATGACCAAGCAATAACAACCTACACAATCAACTACATTTCATTTTCTTATCTTACTCAAGACATACCTGACGGAGACGGGGCACCAACGGTGGGACAATGGAACATGTCAAGCCTACATCATAGGCTAGTCTACAAAATCTATAACTTAGAGCTCTGATACCAACCGTAAAGACCCAAAATTTTCTACTTCCTTTAAGGTCGCTACTGTATACGTACCATAAACATTGAATGCGGAAGACTTCATTAAAATTTCATTAAACATAACCTTTATCTTAAAAAACACAGCCATAGACTTGTGTGATTCGAAAACATCTTTAAAGTGACACAACAAAAGACTAAATAAAATGAATAAGAGTTTAAGTTAAAAACATCCTATTCTAGCCTAAGTTCTAGCTAAGTCTAAGAAAATAAATACCACCACCCTATGCATGTGCCATGGTCTCAAATTGTCATGCCATCGTCAGCCGTACAGGAATGCGTTGCCTTAACCTGAAAAATGTAATAGCACATGACTTGAGTATTTAAAGAAATACTCGGTAAATGACCCCTATCGGGGTTATGCAACAATCACATGCAATGAAATGATGGGACCTATCTTTCGTTTCGTTTCGTTTTCCCTACGGTGCTATCATAACGGGTAATCGTGGACTTGTACCATATATTCTACACACAGCCCATACGTGCGAGTATGGGCTCACCAGCTAGTTCGCACACCGCTGGGTCACTTTCCTTATCTGGTGGGCATACTCTAGAAGCCCCTTATGCCAGGACCCGTTAAAACTAGTAACCGTCACGACAGCGCAATGCAAAGTATAACGATCGTTGTCTTGTCATTGGATGTACGCGTCCGTACCCTCGTGATGGGATAGGGGTATCCCCTAGATGCATGAACACACATAATGCATGAGGTCCCGCTACTTCTACATTTATAATGCATGAGGTCCCCCTACTTCTACATTTATCATTAATGAACATAACCCTCCTGTCACGTTTCATGCTTCATGTCATTCTCATTTTCAATTTACATTTCTTACAAATTCCTATCGGGGTTATGATTCCAGATAGTTTACCGTGTTTCATGTCATACAATTTATGTTGTTTACATTCAAACATTCCATACAATCATGCCATAACCAATCAAGAACATCATATCGTCACATGCATTATACATCACATCAAACTAAACAGCATACATAGCATACATTCATGTTCACATGACTACATACTTAAGCACAATAATCTAGCATACAATTTAATGCCACATGCAAATCCACGGGCATGCACCAACATACAACAAATAACGCGTAACCTACGACGAGTGAGCCACTTAACTGGCTAGCTTAAGTTGTTGTCACGAATATATCTTTAATGAAAGTTCGATTCCATCCTTTGAAATCCGGGTCAATTTATATGAGCCCATGACATTAGTTTCGAGTTTGAACTCTACAACATTATTTCTCAAATTTACATTGGTCCATTATTAAAAGTCTTGAAATGTTATATATTTATAATTATATTTTTATTAACCATCTTATTTTTCATAGTTACTGTTGTATAATAAAGTAGATACACCTATTTCAAGTTATTATAGGCTTTACTACTCTCTGTATTTACCTTATGTATTTACCTTTCCCTCTATATTTAGTTTGTGGTTTTTAATTCCCAAATTTTTTTTATTTGTTGCCTTTTAATTGTATTCTTATGTATTCCAAATTTCGGGTGGATCTCTGTTTTCAAATCTTTCTTTATCCCAGTGTTTCCTATTTCCTTATCTCAGAGTTTCCTACTCATAAGTTTTCTTGGCATTCTATCTTTAATCTATTCATTTGTCTACTGACAAAAATTTAATCTAATATTACTAATCTGACGTGATTTACTAGAATCTTATAAATGATTGACATTTAGTTTCTAACTCAAAGGTAGACCATTGTAATAATTTAATGAAGATCTAACTGGTTGTGATTTCTAAAAAAAATGAAGATTTAATATATACCTTATTGATCATATCTATCTTCTTGTAAATCTCCAGCCAATCTTAACTCGGTAAAGGTCATTCTTTTTTTTTTTTTCCTCAAGTAAAATTGATGATTATTGTTTTTTCCGCTCCCGTAAATCTTAACTGGGTAAAGACCATTTTCTTTTTTTTCCTCAAGTAAATATGACTGATTTCTTGCAATAGATGTTATTTTCTGGGGGTAAGGATGGGTTGAGGGAGATAGATGAGAGGTTAGTGAAGAGAAGTGGGGAAATGTTGTTTTTTTTGTTTATTTATTTTAACTACTTTTTATAATTATTTTTATTGGTTTATTTCTTTATTTATTTTTGGGCTATTATACATAAGGTCCCCTACTTCCACATTTATCATTAATGATCATACCCCCTATCACGTTCCATGCTTCATGTCATTCTCATTTTCAATTCACATTTCCTAAATATTCCTATCGAGGTTGTGATTCTAGACAATTTACCGTGTTTCATGTCATACAATTCATGCTGTTTACATTCACATATTCGATACAATCATGCCACAATCATTCAAGGACCACATATCGTCACATGCATAACATATCACCTCAAACAAAGCAGCATACATAGCATACAGTCACGTTCACGTGAGTTAGTACTTAAGCACATTAAACTAGCATACAATTTAATGACACGTGCAAATCCACGGACACGTACCAACATATGACAATTAACGCGTAACCTACGATAGGTGAGCCACTTACCTAGTTAGCTTAAGTCGTTGTCACGTATATATCCTTAATAAAAGTTCGATTCTGTCCTTTGAAATCCAAGTCAACCTATGTGAGTTCATGACATCAGTTTCAAGTTTGAACTCTATCAAATTATTTCTCTAATTTAGATAGTTAAAATTATGATATTTTCTGCTTCTACGGTTTTATTTTTAAATTTTGTTCAACAAATCTTCCCTTCTAATTATTTTCCTTTTTCAATTCTGTAAATAACATATTCCTCTACTTCTATATTTATTTTCATTCTGTAAATAGATATTGTTCGACAATTTTAATCGATTGTTTGGCTACTATCTTACAATAAAAATTTTATTGATTCTTATTTCCTATAACTTCCAATGCTAACAAAAAAAAAAAAAAAAAATCTAATTAATTGAATATGAGATCGGATTATTACATGAATTGGTCATAAATTGATTTCTTATAATCAACAGTAAATCTAGGATTTTACCGTAATAACATACCAAAATCTCTCTAGACTGCTTCATATCCTTTTTGAAACATCATTTTACTTTTTCTCAAATTTGACCTTTTTTTCTGTTTATTTTTGGATGAATTGCTATTGTTACGAGAGGTTAGTGGAGAGAGGTGGGTAAATTTTATTTTTATTTTTATTTTTAAGTAATCTTTTTAGTTATTTAATTATGAATTATTATTATTTTTATTTGTTTATTTATTTTTATTATTATTATTATTATTATTATTATTATTGGCTATTATATTTCCTCAATCTTCTCTCTTCTTAATTATTTTCACATGTATTCTGTATTTCCATTTCTATTTGGTCTTTTTCTTATTTACTTGTCTTCGATTTAGTAAACAATTATATTCTTAACTTTTAATTTAATCCATTCATTTGGTTATATTCTTTTTCTATAATTCATATAAAATTATGACAATTTAAATTATTGCAACAATTCATCTAATCTTACTATAGGCATGGTTATATTTGATGTTGACACGTGCCCCGTGGTTTTGCACGTGTCATACATATTGATGTGTGTGAATTGTCTGTGGATCGATATGCTTCTTATATGCTATGTATATTTTATAATGTGTGAATTGTATGATAATAATTACCGTACGATTTGTTCAAGGATATGTTTGAGATAGGATACGAGGAGGATGCACAAAACGAAATGTAACCATAGGAGTAAAATACGTTTATGAAACGTTAAGGTTAGGTTACATACCGGAGTGATATGGATAAGAGAGATTGATGGAAGAATACGGTTAGGTTACGGGTAAAATGGGATATGTTTGTTATAGATTGATAGAACGATAGCGTTAGGTTAAGTTCTGGTGATGATATGACTAAGGTACGTTCACGTAATGATATGTTTGTGATAGATATAAGAACGTTAAGGCTATGATAAGTTAGAGAACGATATGACTACGAAGTGTTTACGTTATAACTTGTTTATGATATGATACATTGTCATGCAATATGTCATGGTATGATGTGTGTATGATGAAATGTTATGTTAAAAGCATAGAACGTTATGTTAGGTCTCTTAAATTATGTGTATACAACATGATATGAATGACAAAAAATTAAGATAAATGGCATGAAATATAACCCCGTAACCCCGTAAGAATTATGTATGATTTGAGAACTGAATAATAAGAAACGATATGACATGAATGATGAACGATATCTGAAACGATATGAAAAATGATATGATATGTACATAATGCTAGCAGGGTTGTACTAAAGGATAATGAAAATGGAAAAGTTTTGGGGCCTCATGCATTTAGGGGGATACCCCTATCCTATCACGAGGGTACGGACCCGTACATCCAATGGCAGGACAACGATCATTATGCTTTGCATAGCGCT